CCCTCTCCCCCACTGATGTCCTACAGTAGAAGCTCAGCTCTTCACAGGATTTGAGCTACGCACCAGTCTCACAAAGTTGGTGCAGGAATGTCCTAGGTCCTTTATGGGCCCATTTGATTTGCTTCCTCCCCTGCAGTCATTCAGTATCTTCCCATTATACATGCAAACCAAGAAAGTGTTTGATCAAAGGTAGATGTGAAAAGGGATGCATGGGGGGAGGGGGAGGGGAGGGGTGTGTAGAGGTAGGATGAGGAGTGAGCAGCCTGGGGAGTAGGCAGCACTTGTTACTTGGAGTAGAAACCTGAGACCCACAAGCAAGGGGAGAAAAGGCATTTGAGATACTCTGGAGATGTAACCCCGTGCAGGTGAGTAGCAGTGCCACAGAGGACTTTCCCCAAATATCAACTCTTCTCATTTCTTTGCCCAAGGAGGGAAGAGTGATGGGTGTTTCAGCAAAGGATGAGGTTAATGTGGGCCTGTGGGAAATTCCATGAAGTTCTAGCTAGCAGATGGGGCATGAGGCGCTCTGCTAGGTATCAGGAGTGTTAATATCTGTGCACAGCACATTGAGGGTGCAACAGTTCTTTTAGGCTGTGTCTAGACTGGCCAGTTTTTCCGGAAAATCAGCCGCTTTTCTGGAAAAACTTGCCAGCTGTCTACACTGGCCGCTTGAATTTCCGCAAAAGCACTGACTTCCTATTGTAAGAAATCAGTGCTTTTTGCGGAAATACTATGCTGCTCCCGTTCGGGCAAAAGTCCCTTTTGCGCAAAACTTTTGCACAAAAGGGCCAGTGTAGACAGCTGAGATTTGTTTTCTGCAAAAAAGCCCCGATCGCCATTTTCGCGATCGGGGCTTTTTTGTGGAAAAGTGCGTCTAGATTGGCACGGACTCTTTTCAACAAAAAGTGATTTTGCGGAAAAGCATCTGTGCCAATCTAGATGCTCTTTTCCGAAAATGCTTTTAACGGAAAACTTTTCTGTTAAAAGAATTTCCGGAAAATCATCCCAGTCTAGACATAGCCTTAAGGTTTTGAATCTTCTGTCTTGAGGGGGCCTGTTCCCACCTACAGGGCCTCTACCAACACAGGTTTTGCAAAAACAGCTCTGCGGTGCTCAGAACAAAATGCAATGGGATCATTTGGCCCAGCGCTATAATGATAGGAATGCCAGTTTTAGGTGAGGGAGGAGAGTCTGCCAGGTTACAGGTTATGTTTACAAACACTGAATGTAAACAATAAGACTTCCAAAGCGTGGCACCGTAAGTAAAACTGGAAGAATTTTTTTTTTAAATGGGGAATTGTTTAGTTGGCTATGTTTTAGGTTTGAAAAGCATGCCCTGGAACAACAGGGTCAAAATCTTAGTGGGTTCAGACTTTCAACCTTCCAAGATAGAGTATCTTCACTTCCACTAAGTTTGCTGGAGTCAATGGGAGTAATTTTGGAGGTAACCTTAACATCTGAGGGTATGTCTACACTGCATCCCTAGTTCGAACTAGGGATGCAGTGTAGACATACCCATATATAGTACCATGAGATTTTGTGGGCACTTAGAAACAGCTATTCTTTCACAGCACTTTCCATTAGTAGATCTCACTGGGTTTACAAATAATTATCTTCATTTTACAGATGGGAAATGGAGGTACCAGGAGATGAAGTGACTAATGCAAGATCATTCAGCAGGGCAATGGCACAGCTAGGAATAGAGCCCAGGTCTCTTGAGACCCTGTTCAGTACTCACTCCATTGCTGGGACCAATTCAAAGTTGAGACTAAGAATAACTTTCAACCTGTCTCCTTTGGACTTAGCAGGACAAATTCAGAGGTGATGTGTGAGCCAATGTAGGGTACATGTCAGTAACTGAGTGTGAGTCTGCTGGTCTAATATGCATGGTGTTTTGGGTAGGAATTAGGTATAAGTTACATATATCAGCATGCACAACCCATGCCCATAGACAGTAAGGGTGGGGGCACAATGCCAGAACATCCAGCCCAT